ATTTTATTTTTTGCAGATGCTTACTAAGTTATGATATTTTAGTTCCGTCAAACAATTCAAAAGTAAGAGACGTTCATATTCGTCTGGCTACGCGTCATAGTTCGACGAATATGAACTACCAGACTTTTTGGCTAGGACTCTAAGCATACAAAAAAGAAACATGCATGCAGTTTGCGGGCTGCCTATGTGCGTGCGCTGTTGATTACGAAACTTTCCAAACTGTAGTGCCACAGGGCCGCGCTTGCTGTCGAGGCACTCATTCTGCTATTGGAATCATGACCACACCACTCTTTGAGGAGAGGGGGAGGTTTCTTCTATTTTCTTTTGACTGGTACGTTTAAGGATTTCTTTGCCCAGAGAAAGTTTTCCGCTCTTTCCCTGCCAATGTACTAGCTTTCTCGGGACGATGGATGCCCTGCATTCTTTACTTTTTCTACAGATAGCAGTTTCAACCAATTTGACGAGATGGAACGCACTAATTGAAGCGATCTTCAGTGAGAATCAGATCTTTCTTAGGATCCCTATCGTTTCTTCGAAACACGTTTTGTGGAAATACGCTTCGTGGCCAACTTTTCATGGACGTACATTCCATGGACACACGGTTCGTCGATGCTGTACGTTTTGTGGGCACATACCCCTGCGGCGTTTTGTCAACAACGCATTTCTTCACTAAGCCGCTAAAAGCTAGCACGCAATTCACTAAGGCGTGCATAACCAAACTGTCGAAGGGTTAGGCGAGTGGCCGAGAGAGGTCGCCACCGCACGGGAGACGGAGGCGCCCCAGGAATACAATAAACGTGGACTCGCCAGACGGTACTGACCCACTCACTGGCTGGTCTCTGTCTGTTCACTGCCCAACCGCGACATGGTGGCAGCGGTGGGATCCAGAGAAACGGTGACCTTAGGCGGGCAGCAGTGAATCAGCGATAAGAGCAACAGCAGCGGGCACGGCATGCGCAACTGAACCAGCAGTGACAGCAGCGGACACGCGTAACTGCGCAACAACGCCGATCCAACATGGTGGACTAAGAAGCAGCGGTTTAGGCGGAAAGCAGCCACTTCAACCCGATTTCAACACAGCTGCCGGAAAAGTTAGACTTTCGCCAGCCGCACACGTAAAAGATGTGGTTCACGAGATGGCAACGCCACAGGATAATCACCGAGTTGCATCTCCGCTCTTAAGAAACGCAAGTAAACACGTTTCTCTACGCCATGGGCCGCAAAGGGGAGGATGTTCTTTGTTCTTTGAAGCTGACTGAGGACGAAGGCAAGAACTACGAAAATGTCACCGCGGCATTCGAGAAGCACTTCGTACCTCGGACGAACGTAATTTATGAGCGAGCGAGGTTCAATAGATGCTGCCAGGAACCTCACGAGACAGTGGACGAGTTCATAACCGGACTACACAGACTAGCGAAGTCGTGCGAGTACAGTCCCTTCAAGGACGACCTCATACGCGACCGGCTGGTCGTGGGATTGCTGGACGTGGGACTTGGTGAGAAACTACAGTTGCACCCCCAGCTGACGCTGCAGACGGCTACACAAAAAGCCCAGAATTCAGAAATCGTCAAGAAGCAACAAAACGAGCTGCACAAGAAAGCTGAACAGAATGCAACCCTAGACGAGATAGGACACCCGAGACCACGAAAAAAGGGGGTGCAAGTGGTGCGGCAGTGCAGAGCAGCACTCTAGGATGCAGTGCCCAGCTGTGGAAAAACAGTGCAACCACTGCGGGAAAAAGGGACACTTCGCTGTCGTATGCAGGTAGCCTCGACTCCCCAAGACCCGGACGCCTACAGGTCAATGCCAGCACAGCGCGACTGTAGGAGAAGTTTACGTGGGAGAAATCGTGCAAGAGAGAAGCACAGAACCATGGAAGATCACTGCCAACGTCAGCGGAACAATAGTGCAATTAAAATAGACACCGGTGCAGATGTCACAGCTATCCCACAGCATCTCTACGACCAGGCTAAAATGGGAGAGATAAAGAAAACAACCAAGCGCCTTTTGGGTCCAGGTGAGTCTCCAATCTACACGGTGGGACAAGCTGACGTCACAATCAAGTGGAATGACAACTCGGCACAAGAGGTTGTTTACATCGTCAGTGGCCTCCGCGAGGCCCTCCTGGGACGTCCAGCTATCAAAGCGCGGCAGGTCCTTAGCTATGTTCAGGAAGTCACTACAGTACCAGAGAATGAAGACGCGGAAGCACGCAGAATTCTCAAGAGCTACCCAGAGCTTCTTTCGGGACTAGGACTCATGGAAACTCCATACAGGGTAGTGCTTGCTCCAGGAGCTAAACCCCATGCTGTGACATATCCTAGAAGAGTACCAATCCCACTTCTACCCGACGTAGAAAGAGAACTCCAGCGCATGCCAAATCTAGGGGTTATACTCAGAGTCAACAAAATGACGGAATGGTTTGGTGGTCGCAAAGACGTAATGGTGGTCGCAAAGAAGCAGAACGGCGAACTGCGCATCTGCGTGGACTATGGTGAACTGAACAAGCAGATTGTTTGAGAAAGAGTGCTCATGCCAACTGTGGACGAGAGCCTAGCGAAGCGGCTGGTGCACAAGTGTTCAGCAAGCTTGATGCAAGGGCAGGTTACTGGCAGACACCATTGTCCAAAGAATCCCAGGAATACACAACATTCTTGACTCCGTTTGAACGTTTTCAATTCTTGCGACTACCGTTCGGGATATGGACGGCACCCGAGTGTTTCCAGCGAGAAATGTTACGTGTGCTCGAAGGACTTCAAGGGCAGGTGTGTCTGCAGGACAACATCATCGTGTTCGGCAGCACGGCAGATGAACATGACTGCAACCTAAGTCAAGTGCTCCATCGTCAGCGAGAGGCGGGGATAACGCTAAATCCAGACAAATGTGCTTTCTCCAAAAAGGAAGTGAAGTTTCTGGGCCACATTGCCTTGTCGCAAGGCATCAAAGCTGACCCGGCAAAGCTTAGTGTTATCAAGGCGTAGCCAGGTGTAGAGCCCGAGAAGCGGTGCGGGGTTTCATTACTGAAGATTCTGATACCGGGTCCTGTGGGCCAGTACTGCAGCCTCCTTGTCAGGCCTTTGGGAGACGCTACACAAGGGCTGGCTCCGAGACGGGGGAACATAGGTGGCGGCAGCCTCCTTGTATGTGCGGACTGCTTCCGTCATTCCCAGGCAGCAGCTGAGCAGCTTGTGGACGTAGTCTAGGCAAAAAATGCTGATGATCAAGCTACAGTCAATGTGTAAATAAATGTTTGCACTTACCATATGATGCAGGCTCCATGATACGGCTGACGACCCACTCGCCTTTCCTTGCCTTTGGCAGTTTGAGGGCACACCGGTCGACATCATTTTTTGTCTTGGCCTGCTTGCGGTTAGCATTTTCGTTGTAGTGCAGTACAGCAACGGCAGTCCTGTGAAGGCCACATGAAATGAGCAAGGAAGACAATATACACATTTGTCCCTAGCATATTTCATAAGCATATATATACAAAGACAGAAGAACAACATCGCTGTACCAAATTTTACAATTAAAGCCTACCGTGCCACCATGCCCTCCAAGCTGAAATGTGTCGACTTGGGCGTGAACCGAATGAGCAAACTATGAAAAGACTCCAGACGGAATGTCTGACCCTCTCCAGACAGCCTCGGAATGTCTTTCAGGAGCTGACGTGACATCACAATCTTCTCAAGTGCCACATAAGGCTCAGTTCCTGCATTTAGAAACATCAGATGAATTAGTTAGAACAGTGCACATTGTCGATTCTCTCGTACAGTCTTGCTGAAAAGGAATACGCACAGTGGGTCTAACACTACACTGGGGCTCAAGGCCTGCCAAGTGAGGGTCTAACATATCCTACTTTGATGTATTATACTTGGGTTCCAAGCTCCAGCGTAGCGCTGGTGGTGCGCTCAGAACTATCGACCCTCGGTTCGTATTACTTTTCAACAAGACTGCACATGTCAACAGCTCCTCTTCCTAGACTTGCAATTTGGGTCTCTTATTCGATGTGTCTTTGTGATTTCAGAATATATTAACTGTCTGCCCAAGAAAATAATGTTTGAAAAGCGATCAAATTTCTGTTACGTGTACAACTTCTGTTATGTGTACAACTCGGGCAACACCACAATTCGACTACCCGGTCATGCCATGGCTATAAGTTTCAAATAGTCTCCCCTCATGCAAATGCAGGATGGCCAGGGCAGCCGACCATTCTGCACAAATATGTGCTACGATGCAACGCACAAGGAATATAAACACAGCCAGGAGTATTATTATTTGTATTGAGCATCAGCAAAAAAGAACTTTCTTCACTATTTTGATAAAATTCCCTGACAAATAGCCATTGTGCTTGCCTTGCTTGCTAGGAGTTACAGCTGCCCTTCCCATTTAATTAAGTGGTGGCTTGCACTGCATTCCTGCAACATTATTCAGCATAGCTGTGCCAATCCGCGTCCGTCGGGCTTCGTTATACACTGCCGTGCCACTTTCAGTTCATTTTTAAAAGGTAGCCAACTTTTTTACTGTTTCCCCTGATAATTCTCAGACTTGACCAGGTGATTCAAAATTTCCTTGCAATCACAAGTTTTCTAGGTTGACATGCACGCCAAGAATAAGTGAAAGTGCAGCCGGCATTGCCAGCCAATATGCTGAATGAAAGCCAATGTGCTGGCAGCACAACATCATTGTGTTGGTCGTCCCTCGGATGTCATTAGCTAATCCAATCAAGCGCAGAAAGTGTTCCATGACCGTTCTTCAGCTTTGTCTATCTGTATGTGCTTCTTTAACCGGCACCTTTTGATTGCGCTCTGTCTGAATAATTTCTTTTAAATTTGTCCTAGCATACAAAGCAAGCTACAGCCAACTGAACCAGTTCCTGAAGCTATATGTTGCCTTGCACCTCCACAGTTGGCTCTTCTATATGATATTACAGTGCGGCATGAGACAAGGTAAGTGCAAATTTTTATTAATGATGCCTAGCTCGCTATTATTTTTTTAAAGAATTACAAATATTTCCGAAAGCATTCACTCTTACCTTCATGAAGCCACCATCGGTCTGCAAGTGGGGCGTGCGTACATTCAGGATACAGAGGGTCCGGGTGCTGGTGTACGTCGATGACGTGTCTCATTATTGACGTCCACTTGGCAAGTACCAGTGCGCCGTCGTCACCACTGGTTTGGGCACACCAATACACGTGTGCCCGAACAGTCTTCACCCATTTGTTGAGAATGTCGTTCCGTTTTGTTTTCCCTGCTACGGCCATCTTGCTCCCAATGCCTAGAAATTCGAAAACATACATGCATGGCAAGCTGACTAACCACAAATTTGACATGACGATTTAGAAATTATGTCCAGAATAAGAAGTGCGCAACACGATGGTTGCACTACGGACAACTCGTAGGGAATCTGTTTGATGGGAAGGCGAGACTATTGTGTAGGCTTCACGCGGAACACAGAGATGACAAAAATGAACTGCTGCATTGTAAACTGTGCGAATAATTATGAGGATTGTCCAGTGATATAAGCTTCTGTTTTTCATAATGCCCAATCCTTCAAGCAGGCCTGTAGCCAGGGGGGAGGCCTGTGACCCCCCAAAATCCTCAGTTTTGCTGGGAACTTCCCTCCTCCATTTAAGGCGTGCTGTCATAGGCGGGCCCCTCCCCGAAACAATATCCTGGCTATGGGCCTGCCTACAGGACCACCGATGGAAAATGACGATAGGGGGGTTATATGCGTAAGCAACGAAGTGCCTCCGGCCTGTCCCGATGCAGGTCTGAGGATTAATTTCAAACACCTGTGCAACTTATGATGGAACCCCAAGTTAAACCTAAGTTACAAGGTGCCTTCTTTGCAATACGCCTCTCATATTGCGAGCACCTTGGTTGGGATTTGAACCCACTAACTGCGGATCCATAGACCAGCGCTTTGCCTCGACGACACAGAGGCAACACCAGCAATAGCACTGATGTCAGAAATGAGAGTATTGCTCAATTATTCTTGGTGGTAATTTCGCGGATAACACAGTGGAGCGTCGCAACCCCTTTAGGTGCTGCATACTCCCTATAGCAAAATGTGGTGGCATTTGTTTAGCTCCGCCTCTTGGTATGGTAAACATCTGAAACCTTTTGTAAACCTACTCTAAAACATCTCCAAAATCTGCTCAGTCTGCCTATGCTGGTCAAACCTATAAACAAACTTCACCGTGACGTACCCACAGGGGAGGGTCTTAACTTCACAAGCCACCAACCTCATTGGGAGAGGTTGGTGGTCTGTGAAGAAGCACTCACAGATTCCACTGCTTCTATATTTACTTTTACATTCTTGTCAATATGTTGAATTTATGATGTTTTGTTTCTGGTAGATCGAGTGTTTCGTTGGTCTCTTTATAGGCAGTTGGCAGGCTCTTGAATAAATAACTTAATTATTAGCTGGGAAATTGTTACCTTTGGCAATATGCCATGCATCGAATCGGTGCTTTGTGCCTGGGTAGTCGTTCCTCATCAGTGCATTGACTCCGAAGTGTCGGTCTGTCACGAGCACATGTGGGCAGAACCCACAGCTTTCGAGGTAGTCAAAAGAACGCTTAAGGCCCTCCGTCTCCATGTGATTGCTGGACCTGACCTCTGTCGACTGGTGTAGAAGAAAAAGATAACAAAATTCATATCTCAATTAAGCAAAGCAGTGACCAAGAAATTTTCTATTTAGCCAGTTTTTACCTGAAGAACCTCAAAATGGAGGATCTTGTTGACGTTGGTATCCAGCAGTGTATATGTGCCATACTTAGCAGTGTGGCAGGGGGAAGCAGCACGCCCATCACCTGCCAGGTGAAGTCTGTGACCCTTCATCGATGTCAGAAGGGTAGTCTGTTCTGCTTTCCAGACCTTTGAAATGGAAATATTGAATGGCAGTCTCAACCACCGAATTTAACCAACAGTATTGTAGGCGCGTGTGTTCACCTTTGCAGCAGCAGGGAACACGAGACATCTCTGGACTTGGAAGAACAGGCTCTTATGGATGACAGCGATGCCTATGGAACTCAAGAGGCGTAGAACTTGCGTAGGGCTGGCCCCGGCGTATGTAACCGCAGCAGGCAGGAGGATACTCATGAGTGCCTTGCCGTTTACTCTGGGCTGATTTTCCCACACAGTGATGTGGCCCCGTACACATGTGATCACAGCATGCAGAAGAGTCCCCTCTCCTGTCAGTTTCGTTTGCGTGGGGGCTAGACATTCCCTGCAGACGGAGAACAGCTGCAGAAGCATTGAGAGGCAGACTAGATACTTGTTTTCCTTCACGGGGTCGACGGTGTTGAACTCTCTGGAAAACAAACAAGTAGTACATTATCAGGGTGTCTAGCAAATTATTATTTTGAAATTCCCTGACTTTTCCAGATTTTCCCTGACAATATCAGGTGAACTTTCCTGACCACAGTAGAGGCAGTTAAACATAAAAGATTACAACACAAGGCATTGAGCACTGTCAGGATCATTTTGCATGGGCCTAATCCAACTTGCATATTCCGAAATATTTCGGGTTCGTCCAGTCCGGACTAAACAAGCATTTTCTTGCCGCCGACATCGTCAGTGACGAGGCCACTTCCGGAAACGTGATGAAAACACGACGCTCAACCACACACGTCAATAACCGAATGGCAGTATGGCCACCAGACGCATACTTTCGGATACTTTCGGCTTAAGGCTTGGATCAGATTGGGGTCTGCAGCTTTGCATTAGTTACTAAAGCTAGTAGCTCTAACTGGATCTAGCCTAGTGTCGCGTCCCGAGTCCAATCCAATTCAATCCAAGGCTCATACTGGATTTGTCGGCTGTCCCTTTTGCATCGGGTAGCACACTCTACATCAGGTGGGCAGAGCCCGCGCTCTGCTCTAAGCAGAATTTATTGCCCATTCTTCTGCCCCCAAGTCCTCAAGTCTTTGCTCAGGGCACTCGATAGCATTTCCGGCTCATTTTCCCTGACTGGGCTCGGTTTTTGACAATTCCCCGATTTTTCCCGGTAATTAAAATTTCCCTGACAATTCCCAATTTTCCCGGTCATTGGACACCCTGATTATACAGCCTACTAAACTCAGAAGCTGTGTTTCTTGCTATTCGCTTTATGCTTTGTCCTATTACTTGCTATTCGTGGGCCCTCTACTAAGACCCCAAAAATTCTAGCCTATTCATAGCATAAAATTATGGTTTTACAGAAGAGGGTGAGCACTTACTCATGAGGGCTTCCATTATCTGTGATCACGGAGTTGTCAGACCATGCACTGGTATCTGAAGTATCTGCCTCATAGTCAGCATTGATGGAGTCGTCAGGTCGGTAGCTTCTGTCCAAGGGCTCCGCAGGTATATCCTCAAAGTCACTGGAGTCGCTTTCCTCGTTGCTGGGGTCGCTTTCCTCGTCGCTGGTGTCCAGAGGTTCAGCGTCAGTTTCCAGAAGTTGAGGAGTGACATCCAAGTCTAGAGTTAAAGGGCTTGGGATTCTGCCAGTAGTAGGAGACGAACACCACGGCCGTGACTGCCCGTAGTTCTTTGCAGAAGTTGCTTCGGCTGGTTGTGGATATCCAAAGGCACCTGTCTCATCTCCCAAGGGACTCTGTCTCGCCACTTCGGAAACAGACTGACCCTCAGGACAAATATCATGGTGTACCAAATCTGTGAGAGAAATGTATTCAGTACGAAAGTGAGTTATTTCATTTCACATGAGTAAGCATATGACATATCTAGAAACTTTAGTACTCTGGAATTCGAATTTTATACTTTGTACGTCCAAGGGCGCCCAATGAAACAATCTCCTCGACTTAGCATACCGTGAACCCGAACAAAATACGGAGAATGCACGTGGATGTATTAGGTGCCACATATTTTTAATACTATGCCAGAATCCTTATTTGCGGTCGCATCAAGGCAAAAAGTCAAAAGAGCCTTACGAAATTTACATCAGTGAAGTCAGAGTGCGAGACCATTTGCTAATTCTTCCAGAGATGTGGTTTTCCTGATATACAGTAAAATACCGTGCATCTGCCCATTCCACACTAAGTGCCCACCCCCAAAATTTGAAACGCGTGAAAAAATATGCAAAGTACATATATATGTGAATTGATGACCCCTATTTTTTCGTGATTATCTTCAAATTTTGAGTGGGTGCTTGCTTGGTATTTTACGGTAGTTTTGTATTGAGCGGAAGAGTTATTGCCGTTTTGTTGATCGATTCCAGATACATGGTTTTCAAGGAGAGGGTTTCTATTGTTCTGCAGTGCTGCTGTCTTTTTGTTGAGTGATTCCAGATTTATAGTTTCCCAGGATGTAGTTTATGCTGTTGTTCGGTTGCTTGAACGCATGAATTCAACGATGTATGAGCACTTCATTTGTATTGCGTACTGAATTGCCACCTACCCTGCCGAGCCAGGTACACAAGCACTTGAGGCTTACACTGGCTCGTTATTGTATCTTTTTGGAAATGTATCTGTTACAAATAAAAATTCTATTCTATCCTATTCCATATGTAAATGCACTGCTTCCACGTACCTGAGGGTGTGGTTGACGGCTGAACTTCAACAGGGGTAGACTTTTCTGACTGCTTGCCTTGGCTGGCGTACCAAGATTCCGGAGTCTGTGTACCTGGCGCATAAAAAAATACATTTAGGATGCATACTTTAATTAATACGAGTACTGTGCACATACCTTTCGTTCGTGTATCCGGACAAGCCTGGCTCCATGTGCTGCACCTGGGGGGCCGGCTGACAAATAAACATAGAGCGGCACTGGACTTTGAATGCTCTGTCTCAGCAGATGCAGTGAATGATGCCTTGCACACCCCAGGGTAATCAGGAAAGAATCGCTGAATGACAAAATGTCCGACGCCGCTGCTGCACTGCTGTCCTGTAAGAGTGGAGCATCACGCAACTGTATAGTGACACTCCACATGTAGAAATTTAGGTGGGAATACATACCTGACTAGAGCATTCTGCACCCTGTTGGATGCCAGCAGGTGCGCTGAGCGATGCCAAGTCCAGTCCCGCAGCAGTGGCTTCTTGGTTCTGTAAGAGCGGTGCATGATGAGATTGTATTTGCAGGTACAGGGCACACCAAATGTAGCAACACAGTGCAATCCACTTATAATGATACCACTTATGACGATGTAATGCTTATAGTGATCAGCTTCTAGAGTTTCTAGACTAGAAACGACCAGTTTGTAGTCCAGATACAACGATGACTGGTTTTAACAATTGAATTTTTGGGTTTTCTCAGTATCATTATAAGTGAATTGCACTGTACAGACGAGAATACATACGTCGGAGCATTCTGCACCCTGTTGGATGACAGCAGGTGCGCTGAGCGATGCCAACTCCAGTCCCGCAGCAGTGGCTTCTCGGTTCTGTAAGAGCGGTACATGATGTGATTGTATTTGCAGGTACAGGGCACACCAAATGTAGCAATACAGTGCAATCCACTTATAATGATACCACTTATGACGATGTAATGCTTATAGTGATCAGCTTCTAGAGTTTCTAGACTAGAAACGACCAGTTTGTAGTCCAGATACAACGATGACTGGTTTTAACAATTGAATTTTTGGGTTTTCTCAGTATCATTATAAGTGAATTGCACTGTATAGACGAGAATACATACGTCGGAGCATTCTGCACCCTGTTGGATGACAGCAGGTGCGCTGAGCGATGCCAAGTCCAGTCCCGCAGCAGTGGCTTCTCGGTTCTGTAAGAGCGGTGCATGATGTGATTGTATTTGCAGGTACAGGGCACACCAAATGTAGCAATACAGTGCAATCCACTTATAATGATACCACTTATGACGATGTAATGCTTATAGTGATCAGCTTCTAGAGTTTCTAGACTAGAAACAACCAGTTTGTAGTCCAGATACAACGATGACTGGTTTTAACAAGTGAATTTTTGGGTTTTCTCAGTATCATTATAAGTGAATTTGCACTGTATAGACGAGAATACATACGCCAGAGCATTCTGCACTCCAGTGGATGTCAACAGGCTCCCTTGGCGACGAATCATGGGCTCCTGTGCCTTTGTCGAAGACGTCAAGTGTGTCGTGTGCCGGCAAACCGCTGGTCAGTTCTTTAGGCGACACAACTGTACCTTCGTCTCCATTCTGTAAGGGCAAGCAATATTTTATAGACTCCCTTTGGGAGGACACTCAAAAGCCTAAATTACAGACGATGCACAAGCAACAAGGTAGAAAGTTGGGCTAGTTGATAGTTGTCATACATAATAATATGACACGGCGCAAAAGGATATAAAAGGAAGAGATACACTGGATAAAACAGGGCAATGTTCCAATGTGTCTCTTCATTTTGTATCCTTTTGCGCTGTGTAATATCATGATGCACAAGCAGTTTCGGGCTCGCCTCAGTTGCGAGCGTGTACTGGCTTTACTCCAAATTTTGTAAACATTGAAACCGTCTACAGCAGGGGTAGCCCATGGCAGTGCTCAGGAGCCGTACACAAAATCCTTAGTTTCTTTTAGAGGCCCAATGAAGGATTAGGGTTGGGGGTGTATGTTGGAAACATTGCTATTTTCAGATGCTTTAGGTAGCCGTTACCTTGCTGCAAGCTATACATTGATAACGTGCTGGAAGCTGGGCTCACTCATTTCCGCTCGCTCGCAACACTCATTTCCTGTTTGTAGAATTAGTACAGTAAGGGCTATGCTCCACCACCAAAGATGAGGACGAGGTTATGTTAGTGCAAGGCATGTATAGTTCAGCTAAAATATAAGAATAGTGGCTTCAAAACCTAATGAGTGCATTTATTCAACTCCTGTCAGCCAAATGTTTTTACCAAGAAGGGAAAGTTGATATGACACCGGTGCTAGGTACAACTTTATACAATTTTTCAATGGCACATATGCATAGTGCTGTTAGCTGGGTACTGCATTAGACTCCTGCATTACTTGTAGAAACAAAGCCCATAAGCAAAGGTAACTCACAAACCAATTTAGGGCAAAATTTCCCGCAAAAAGCATAGCTGCCTCAACCTGGCATGCGGTGAAGCGTGAAGAAGTTAACAAATTAAAAAATTGGGTGTACAGTTCCCCATGATTTTCCCCCTTCCGTTATTTTTTTGTGCCTTTGTTCGTCATTTCTAAATGCTTATTGGTAACGAAATCCACAGCTTTAAATCTAGTAATTCTATATGTCATGTCTTGCACGTGTTTTTTACTGTAATGTCTTCATGATCAAGATTAGTTGTTTGTAACAACTATTTTAATTTTGGAGTCCTCAGATCACAAAAGGAACACTCGAGAGAAGCAGTTTGGCCACCCCTGGTCTATAGGGTTTGTAGTATGGTTAATTGAAACAGACTTAAACATGTTCTGTAATTCAATGCAGCTCCTCTATGTGGATTACTTAATTTTATAAAAAAGATTAGGATTATTTATAAGGAAGAAAACTGTTTGTAAAATTTCTGAAACAGATTTTATTTGTTTACAAGTGTTTGACAGGATAATGTTTACTGTTTCCTGACTATTTTATGGAGTGCTACACAATGTCTCTTGAACACGTGATCGTCGGTTCGTCCCAAGGTGTCATCGATCGACTAGCACGATGTAAACTATTTGTTTGAGGCAGCAGAGTAAACGGTAAAATTCGTTGAGTAAAATAAATAAAAAAAAAAGATCGTAGATCTGTTTGCGCTGTGTCGTGCGATATAAATGATTTTCGCACTGCATGTAAAGCACAGACCAGTGTGTGTTGTTTCATCTGAAGTGCGCGCGAAGCAAATGTGACAAGAACAAGCTCCGCCTCTGAGCGACCCGATCTCGCCCGCGAGCAACATGCCCGTGTTCCACCTTCGCTCGATCTTCCGCTCAAAAGATCATAAACGACAGCAAAGACAAGGTCACCGAGACAGGCATACGCCGCACACAACATGACAGGGAATGCGAGTAGCTTGGGAGACAACGTACCCACCTTAGAAAGAATAAATGCATTTTGTACAGACGTATACTTCGTGAAGCAATCATGAGGCATGGTTGGGTGGCATACCTGTTGTTGCTGTCGTTTAGGTGTCTTGGAATGCCATAAATTACAGGAGCTCGCAAGAGTGCACGTGCTAGACTAGAATATGTACCAGGGTTCGACGACGTTTCACCGCTGAGCCGTCTGCTGTCGGGGAAGCTGTGCCGCGTGCGAAGATCGACGGCACGGCGTCCGGCTTCAGCTTCGCGTACTTCGTCGAGAAGCCACTGTCGGCTAGCACACGCATGTTTCGCTCGTAACATTCCGGCAAGAAGTGGTCGGAACAGATTAGTATCCTGGCAGTTGGCGACAAGGACTTCTCGGGGTCCCATAGGTACAAGGCGTCCGTCCAAAGTTTCCGGCGTTCATTGTCTCCAGGAAACCTGTGGAACAGGATTCCTGGGCTGTTCAGCTGGTAGTTAGAACAGCCAGCGACACAACACCGTGAGCCTTTGCCTTTGCGCTTTTTGCCAGCCATCGCTAACGCACACCAGGAACAAATCTACGCGCCTCTTGCCTAAATAACGCACGAAACAACGGGAGATCAACACGGCACAACGGCACAGACGCAACCGGAGACTCCGCGCTCGCTGCGCTCGCTTGCAGATCACGTGGACACCGCCGCCGAGGTAGAGTCAAAAGAGTTGGTAGAGTCTGAAGGTAGAGTTGGTAGAGTGATAGGATATGTACCTCGAAACGAAAAAACGAAGAAAATACCTGCGCACGGCTGCGCATGCTATAGACGTCACTGACGGCGGAAGTGGCGGAAGCAGATCGGCGGAAGTGCAGTGTTGGCTGCGCCGCACGTTCCCCCTATAGTTAGCGGATATTGTTACTTTTGCGCTTGTACGACTTTGATGGCCAATTTAATAAAGATTTAGACGGAATTCAATTCCAATATTTGACTTGTAGCCTTTCTAGATAATACTGAATAGAATTATAATGTTTTCTCAGTAGCGAAAATTGAGTGGAGTTGCCCTTTAAAGACAAACCGACAAATCACGAAGAAGGTCCAGACTCCTCGATATGCCATATAACGACGCATACCTTAGCCACAAGCCAGTGGACACCCACTGATAGACCGATCTCACCAAGCGTTCGGCGCATGCGTGAAGCCGACATAACTTTAGTTCACAATAAGCAGGCGGCAGTGTCCGAGACGGCTCGTGCTGTCTCATGCTTTTCGCGCGCAGAGTTCCAGTGAGGTTCGGGCACGTGCTGAAATACTAAAGTTACCTCGATGCATTGCGGCAGCGCTGGCGTAGTCAAACTGGTTGGTGAGTGGGTCTATTCTCTTTCAGAGTGGCCTTTTCCCCAGAGCAAAGAGGGAGCATACAATGTTCGTCGTTTCGTCAAACTTTCTTTGTAACATCGCGGAGGTTTGTGGAAGCTTCAACTCCGACTGAGAGCGAAGTTGGAAGCCGTTCGCGCCAATATGTTGCCTCTATTAGCCGTAAGAACGAGCTTGTAATCAGTGTAATGATTGGCTGCTCTATCCTCGCCGTGAAGTCACGGGTAGAACAGCGGTTTTGTTCCTGGGAGGTTAGGATCGTACGAATAGAAAGATAGGCACTGTGGCACTGTAGGCACGATAATTTTTGCCTTGCAAGAATAAGGCAAACATTATCGTGGAATATACTATCAGCCAAGACTAAGTCGTGTCAAGACGGCTAGGCAAAGAAATGACCTCGTCAGGTCACTATGGCAGGACGCTAGAATGACGTCACGCACGAGCTGCAGAGTTCGTGCTTTCGCACTAGTACTTCGTTTCACTTTATCTGCGAGCGAAATCAAAGCTACAGAGTGAGCCATATGCATAGAGGAGTCAATGGCTGTGAGCGTTCCTGAGTAGCTCGCGGGCTCGCGCAGTGAGGCACCGTTTTAGACTGAATGCTCGCGCGTTTAGCTTCGGCTTCGCTCGTACCTAAGGTGAAACGAAGTATAAGCTACGCTTGCTTGCGAATTTGCCGAACTAGTGCCTGACTAACTGTGATGTTTGGTTTGTACTGTTGATAGCTGCATATGAAATAAAGATTGGATTAGACA